TTCGTTCACTAAACTATAAAGATCACACAAATATAACCAGTATGTGAAAGGATGCGACGGGTTGAGCAATGATACAATAAAGATAAAAACCTATGCGATGAAGCTGACTAGCGAAGGCAGAAGCCGCGAATAATGAATTGTTGCCATTGACATTGAGGATTGGATGTATTAATCAGCCAGGGAATGATAGCGAAAAATACGATTTATGCTACCTAGGGAATAGATTAGAATTCAATCTTACAATTCAGGTGAAATACTGTTAGTTTTTTCACCATTGTTATCAATGTTAAGTATCTTGTGAAGTGTGCATTTCAATGTCAGAAATACGTAAGCAACCGCATTTGATTCAGAGGAATCGGTTTTATTCGAGAGAAACTCGGCCTCAATAGAATTTACCCATTGGGTTATTGTGGGCTTAGAGTGACTCCACTCATACAAAGAATCATGCTCGCATTCACGTCTGGGCATGGTGACCGATTTATCGACTCATCTTGACGTGATTCGCTTCCTTACCGGACCGACAGAGGTCAATTAACTCCGGGTTAGTTTATTCGTATCTATGACGCACACTCAATCAAAGATCACGAACAAAGCGTGGAACGGGTGTGTGGGGGAGGGAGCGGGGGGAAAACGGCCCACCTCGACCCACCCACCCTCCTCCCGAAACATTCAATCTTACTCGGTAACTCACTAAAAATGTACTTTTGTTTGTTTACGGGAAAGTGAGTTCATTCGGACTGGACGGGGTTAGACGGACCCGGTCCAATGAGTGACATTTGATGGCCAAAACACCAATAATCTTGTGGGGTTTCCAATAGAGTGCGATTGGTTGGATTTACTGGAAGTTGAAAAGGTATAGTGGTGTGGCGTATGAGTCGGTGGTAGACCTGCTGCTATTTCTGTTGTTCATGAATGAAGTAGCAGAAATTATCAGCTAACCTCTCTTTATCTTCCGGAATGATGTGAAACTTGTTGAATCCCGTGGAAGAGCTGACTTAGAAGAGGATATTACAATGGCGGTCAAGTGATCCCACATATGATATCTGCCACTAAATGCAACAGTCAGTTGCTCTTTAGAACTAGGGAAACATTAAAGACTCTCGGGGACAGGGAGAAATTCTAATTAAGCATTATAACCGGTGCCAGGGATCTAGGAGTCATCGTAGCTGCAGATTACAGTTGGAGTACCCAATATGAAGCTGCAGAACACATGGCAAGACGACAGCTGTTTCGACTAAGGTCAGCAGTTTCGTGCAGAAAAGCAGAAATACGTATAGCCATAAACAAAACCATCGTAAGGCCCCACCGAGAATAATGCGATCGGGCTTGGTCCCTCTTCTACAAAACGAATGCAGCCTGTCTGGAAAAGGCCCCGCGACTAGCAACACGGAAGGTTGAAGGTATGCGGGGAAAATCATACGAAGAGAGTTTGAACATGCTCGGTCTTTTTTCACTAGAAAAAAGGAGATTGTGCGGAGACCTCTTTGAAGTATTTATGATTAAGAAAAAAATGCTGTGTTTTGATTCGGGGTTCCTCTTCACTGATGCTCCCCACCAAGAAAGGCGTGGAAATGAGCTCACACTTATGAAACAACGTTCTAGGCTGAACATACAAGCACATTTCTTTAGGGTGGTGGATAGGTGGAATAAGCAACCATCTGAACTGATTAAGCAGCCAAACGTCCGAGCCTTTAAAAGAGCACTGGACGCCAGGTGGTTGGAGGTTTTCCCTGACACAGAATGTTAGGTGCATAAATTGTTTTTGGGTAATATGTAACTCTTTTACGATAAAATTTTCTCAATGACACGGCGAGAAGTAAAGTTTCTCTTTCTCTCTGTTTGAAGATAGAAAGTGAAACCGATTAATCGGAGAGGTGGACGCACACTCGTGAGCACACCAGCAAAGGAATTCTGGACGCTTGATTGGCCTGTGGCCACTACCAGTCCTGTGCAACCCGATCTGGTTAGGTTATAGGTTCAGTTCAATTAAGATCAGTTCAGTTTACACAGGACTATGGGTCTTGTCACTCGAGTATCCAGTTCGGTGTGTTGTCGGCGGACGGGAGTACCTTCCCACACTGCGTACAGTTGATTTGGTATTTGTGAACATATCAATCTAGCCTCGCTTCCAGAACGTTGTCCCTTTGGGGGTAGGCTGAAAGGGAGGGAAACAAGCTGGGATATCTCCTGGCCTCACTGGTTAGAGACCTGAAGTACACATGCATTTGTATCCACGGATCATGTGTGACAGGACAGTCAGTTTGAGAACAATTCCAACAATGAAGCCCGAGTTTACTTTATTTCACAAAATTCCGGCTAATGTGGAATTTATTCTTGATGTTCTCACTCTAAATACTAATTTCGGGGTACGTTGCTGACCATCATGCCTCGAAGGCCATCTTGAAGGAGTGAATATTGGCGCAGTTGACCAGTTCTGCGTGTAGTCTGCTCCCCTTAGGTATGAAACTATGTGCTAATAAGTTGGCCCGTATTTTCAACCTGGCCCGGTCTTGTTCAAGTTTATGGCCACGACCTCTCGTATTTTGAGCACGAGAAATCGTAAACAAGTCATCTAGGTTGAGTCCCGATAGACCTCTTACAATTTCAAAAGTCTCTATCAGATCTCATCTCACTCGTCTACTCTCCAGCGAAATGAGGTCAAGATCTCTCAACCGCTGCTCATAGCTTTCCCCCTTTTGCTCAATCACCACCCGGGTAGCTAGGCGTTGGACTCTTTCTAAACATGTTGCATCCCTCCTGTTATACGGTGCCCATGCCTGCATACAATACTCCATGTGTGGTCGAACAATCGATTTATACATTGGGACGAAAACCTCAGGCCTTCCGTATGTCACTGTGGCACACTGCCTGAACAGCTGCCCCCTAGCCTGATTGACAGCCTTGGAGCACTGAGTTGAGGGTTTAAAACCTTGGGTCATAAGAAACCCAAGATCCTTCATCTGCGAGACCTGGCTTATTAAACGAATATACCCCAGCTCTCATTGCTAAGAGCCGACACTTGTTTAGATTCAAAGGTAGGTCCCACTTGACCGACCATCGATGGACTGCCTGTAAGTTCAGTTCCAGGTTTAACCCTGTTACTTTGACATCATCAGCAAAAGTGAAACACGGATTTTGAAGATTCTGTGACAAATCATTGATGAATATGAGAAACATAAGGAGCCTAGCACAGATCCGTGGGGAACCCCACTTTTAACCATGTCATGGTTAGAAATGTAGTCATCAACCTTGACCCGGAAGATGCGATTACTCAAAAAGGCTACAATCCAGTCCTTGGCTTTACCCGTTATGCTAAGCTCCAAACTTTGGTTTCCAACAATCGATGGCTGACAAAGTGAAATACTTTACAGAAGTCTAAGTAGCAGACTTCATCTAGAAATACAAACAGATTCATAAGACACGATTTCCGTTGCACAAAGCCATACGGTGCCGGTGTCAGGAGTCGATTGCCAGTCGGACGTAGGCAAATCTGTCTTCTGATTAGTCGCTCCAGGCACTTACACAGCACTGAATTTAGGTTAACCGGTTGTGTTTTTTTTTTGCTTCGGTCCAGCCTTGTGCAATGCTACTACGGTAGCTGTACGACAGCCGTGCGGTAGCGTAGCAGTTTGAACTGATTCCCTAAAATGTATAATCAGCGGCCCGGCTAGCATACCGGCCAGTGGCTGCACTATGGCTGGATGTATTCCATCTGTACCTGCTGACTTACGCTTGTTGAGCATTTGGAGTTCCCGATGTGCATCTGTTTTACAGATAACGATTTTGAATAACTCTGACGTATCAGCTAATCCTGTTGAACCCGGATTATCCACATTAGCTGGGGTCCTATACACGCTTTTGAGGAAAGTAAGTAGGTTTTCCGCTTTATCGTGATCACAAGTAGCTATACTTCCAATGGGGAAAGCTAGTGCTCCTACATTCTCCCGTGTGCGTGCGTTGGCTCGCACGTACGCATAGAACCTTTTCAGGTTCTTTTTGACTCCTCGCGCTAAGTTAAACTCGAAGTCATATTTGGCATGGCTTAAGAGATCTTGACATCTGTTGCGCGCTTGCTTGTAGTTACTCCACACTTGCTGAGTGCCGTAAAGCTTAAAGCGATCCCAGTATTGTCGGCGAATTTTCAGCGCCCTCTCTATCCCGGGTTTTTACCATATTGGTCTATGTCTGGTTTGTTCTTCCTTCAGTGGCGCGAACCTTTATGTGAGGCTAGGTAACCCTCCTCTAACCACGTTCCATCTACCTTGCACAGTACACTCCGGGGACATCGGTGGTATGGTATTTGCAGCTTGTACCAATTGTGTGACGTTTATGCGACCACAGAGACGCATAAGAGAAGGTCCGAGCCTAAGATAGCTAACCATTAGTCTAAAGCGAATAATTGCGTTGTCACTTTTGCCTAACGGTTCTTCCCTATTTAGACTAGTTATGTCCGAGAAGCACCTTATGACAACTAGGTCTAGTAGCTTGGGTCTCTGTTGTCCTCGGTATCTCGTTGCTCTTATCACATGCTGTGTCAGAGCTTTTTCTTGTAGAAATTGCAAGAATACAGCCCCTGGAGATCCCATAGGCGCATACCCCCTTGACCATGCTACCTCCGGAACAATGAAATCGGCAGTGATAATAAAATGCTGGTATTTCGCCAGTGTTTGTTGTAGGATCATAAGCAGCTCCGTATCTTACTCTGGCGTAGTATTAGGGGCTCTATCTATGCATTCCATGTGCACTTGCTTTTATCCCAGTTGAATAAAGCA